TCTAGTTCAGTTCTAGTTCAGTTCTAGTTCAGTTCTAGTTCAGTTCTAGTTCAGTTCTAGTTCAGTTCTAGTTCAGTTCTAGTTCAGTTCTAGTTCAGTTCTAGTTCAGTTCTAGTTCAGTTCTAGTTCAGTTCTAGTTCAGTTCTAGTTCAGTTCTAGTTCAATTTTAGTTTATTTTAAGTGCAGTTCCATTTCATAGACATATGTACTTTAGTTTAAAAAAATCTATCATCTGGCAACATCAAACTTATGTTTTGAGCTCAAGTAAACATGTTCAAGAAAAACGCTTCTCAAACGAAAAATCTGCAAAACAAAATGTAAAAACTCTGCTGCACTCAACAACTCTTGCAAATTGATTAACCAAAACAAACTCACAAAAATACACATACACTCTAGCATACTTCACACTCCCATTCATAACAGCAACAACACATCCACCCCCACCCAGTAAATTCCAACACCTTCTAACGTTTTTGTTTTTTTTGTTTTGCAAACAAGAGAAAATTACAGAATGCGTTATTGTGGTGTATGCATGAGAGTGTATGGGTCTATTTGGAGCCCATTTTTATAAGTCTACCATTAATAAACAATAACAAAAACAAACAAAAGAAAAACAACAACGAAAATTAAACCGTATGCTTAGCGCCAGTCATTTGCACTCCAAAAACACATACAACCGACAATCCAAAAACAGCAGCAGCATCTTCATCATTATTATATTTTATTTACATCATTATCATCATAGATATTGTTATTTTTAACTTCATTATGGTGTGTTATGGAAATGAAAGTATTCAACAGCGTGTTAATGGTGTATATCCAGTTTTTCTTAAAAATATTTTTTAATTTTTTTGGAAGTATGTTTTTTGCACTTTTTTTTGGTGGTTTAATGTTTGTTATTATTCCAAGAGTAAATTTTAAATGTGAGAAATATAAATGACAAACAAACAGTTTAACTGCATATTTATGTAAATTAGAAAAATGAAAAAAATTTGATTTTATAGGATTTTTAGAAACATCTAACCAACTGAACTAGAAAAAACTGGAACAGGACTAGAAGAGGGCAAGAACAGAACTAAAACAGAACAGAACTAAACCAGAACTACAACAGAACTAGAACAGAACTAAACAAAACTAGAACAGAACTAGAACAAAACTAGAACAGAACTAGAACAGAACTAGAACAGAACTAGAACAGAACTAGAACAGAACTAGAACAGAACTAGAACAGAACTAGAAAGAACTAGAACAGAACTAGAACAGAACTAGAACAGAACTAGAACAGAACTAGAACAGAACTAGAACAGAACTAGAACAGAACTAGAACAGAACTAGAACAGAACTAGAACAGAACTAGAACAGAACTAGAACAGAACTAGAACAGAACTAGAACAGAACTAGAACAGAACTAGAACAGAACTAGAACAGAACTAGAACAGAACTAGAACAGAACTGAACAGAACTAGAACAGAACTAGAACAGAAATAGAACATAACTAGAACAGAACTAGAACAGAACTAGAACAGAACTAGAACATAAATAGAACAGAGCTAGAAATGAACTAGACAGAACTAGAACAGAACTAGAACATAACTAGAACATAAATAGAACAGAGCTAGAATGAACTATGAACAGAACTAGAACAGAACTAGAACAGAACTAGAACAGACTAGAACAGAACTAGAACAGAACTAGAACAGAAATAGAACAGAGCTAGAACAGAAATAGAACAGAGCTAGAAATGAACTAGAACTGAAGTGGAACTAGAAATGAAACAGTACTGAAACAGAACTGAACTTGAAATGAACCAGAACAGAACAAGAACTCAACTTAAAGTTGCAATAGCCTTGATTCTCTTCCACACCAATTTTTTTTCTTACATTTGCACTTGGAGCAAACAATACACAAAGTATTAATTATTTTCGAAATACCCAGTACAAAGAGCCATAGCATTATTTGTGTGTATATTATTTTCGATATACAAACTAAAAAATTTGAAATAAAATATAGAAAAAAAAGACAAAGAAAAAAGAATAACAACACAAACCGTATATCATTAAATCGACACATGTCGTTCAGTTGACAATGACAACGACAATAGCAACAACCCAATTGAACAAACTAAGAAATTTAAATAAAATTGAAGACCGTTAGTTTAGAAATGCCCTTGACCCATTTTTTAACAAAAACTAAATACAAACCACGCAGAGCACGTTTAAATCGTAATTGTATAAAATTAAATTTTTGTTCTTCAAAACAACTCATAGAAAAACGATTTCTTTCTAAACATTTGCATTTGATGTTGTTCACTTATTTCGTTTTGATTAGAATTTTATTGTATTACAATACAAAGTAGAAAAAAAGAAATTGTTCGGAAGACTTACCCTCATTTATATGCTTGTAGGTCTTGATTAAATCCACACTTAATTTTCTTAACGGCGCCGTTGCGGGATCACGAAAATGTGTTGGTATACGTGCTTGCATGGCGCGCACCTCTGATGAAGACGTTGGACTAGATCGCTGGAAAAAAAGAGCAATAACAATAAATTATTATAAAAAATCAAAACAAATCAGAAAAAAAAAAAATAAAGAATGTAATGAAGAAGGTTAAAATATTTAGTGAAGTTCAAATAAAACTATAGTCCCTTACATGACCCTAAAAATTGTTCAGACTATTGACTACTATTAAAGTCGAGCTTAACAATAAAGCGCACTGTAGTCTGATATATAGTCTGGACTATGGCTATTCTATAGTATGCACAATTGTCTATTATATAGTCTCGGGAGCAAGGGCTTTGACATATAATTTTTTAATATACAATTTAAACTATTATTGTTAAGTTTGGTACTGTAGTTTTACGATATTAATATTTGTTTAAGACATTACATTATAATCTTAAATATTTCCTATTAGTTATTTTAATATATGTTGTTCTTATAAAATTGGTTTCAAAAAAGTCTCAATAAATATAACTATAACTATAACTATAAAAAATCAAAACAACAAATCAGAAAAAAAAAATTAAAGAATGTAATGAAGAAGGTTAAAATCTTTAGTGAAGTTCAAATAAAACTATAGTCCCTTACATGACCCTAAAAATTGTTCAGACTATTGACTAAATTAAAGTCAAGCTTAACTAAAAAGCGCATTGTAGTCTGATATATAGTCTGGAGTACAGTCTGTAGTCTGGAGTACAGTCTATAGTCTGGACTATGGCCTATTCTATAGTCTGGACAATCCTCTATTATATAGTCTGACTATGGCCTATTCTGTAGTCTGACTACGACCTATTCTATAGTCTGGACTATGGTCTATTCCATAGTCTGAAATATGGTCCATTCTATAGTCTGGACTATACTCTATTCTCTAGTCTGGACTATAGTCAAACTAGAAGTCTAGAATATAGTCAAGTCTATAGTCCGGACTATAGTCTAGTCTACAGTCTGGATTATAGTCTAGTCTATAGTCTGGAGTATAATCTAGTCTGGACTATATATATTCTATAGTGTAGGTTATGGTCTAGTCTATATCCCGGACAATAGTCTAGTCTATAGTCTGAACTGTTGTCTAGTCTACAATGTGAACTATAGTCTAGTCAATATTCTAGACTATAGTCTGGACTTTGGTCTAGACTAGAGTCTGGACAATAGTAGACTATACTATTGTCTAGTCTATAGTCTGGACTATAGTAGACTATACTATAGTCTAGTCTATAGTCTGGACTATAGTCTAGTCTATAGTCTGGACTATAGTCTAGTCTATAGTCTGGACTATAGTCTATAGTCAGGACTATAGTCTAGTCTATTCTGGACTATAGTCTAGTCTATAGTCTGAACTGTAGTCTAGTCTACAATGTCAATAGTCTAGACTATAGTCTCAACAATAGCCTAGTCTATAGTCTGGACTATAGTAGACTATACTATAATCTAGTTTATAGTCTGGACTATAGTAGACTATACTATAGTCTAGTCAATATTCTAGACTATAGTCTAGTCTATAGTCTGGACTTTAGTCTAGTCTATAGTCTGGACTATAGTAGACTATACTATAGTCTAGTCTTTAGTCTGGACTATAGTCTGGACTATAGTCTAGTCTATCGTCTGGACTATAGTAGACTATACTGTAGTCTAATCTATAGTCTTGACTATAGTAGACTATACTATAGTCTAGTCTATAGTCTGGACTATATTGTAGTCTGATATATAGTCTGGACTACAGTCTATAGTCTGGACTATGGCCTATTCTATAGTCCGGACAATCCTCTATTATATAGTCTGACTATGGCCTATTCTGTAGTCTGACTACGGCCTATTCTATAGTCTGGACTATGGTCTATTCCATAGTCTGAACTATGGTCCATTCTATAGTCTGGACTATATTCTATAGTCTGGACTATAGTCAAACTAGAAGTCTAGAATATAGTCAAGTCTATAGTCTGGACTATAGTCTAGTCTACAGTCTGGATTATAGTCTAGTCTATAGTCTGGAGTATAATCTAGTCTGGACTATATATATTCTATAGTGTGGGTTATGGTCTAGTCTATATCCCGGACAATAGTCTAGTCTATAGTCTGAACTGTAGTCTAGTCTACAATGTGAACTATAGTCTAGTCTATAGTCTGAACTGTAGTCTAGTCTACAATGTGAACTATAGTCTATTCAATATTCTAGACTATAGTCTAGTCTATAGTCTGGACTTTAGTCTAGTCTATAGTCTGGACAATAGTAGACTATACTATAGTCTAGTCTACAGTCTGGACTATAGTAGACTATACTATAGTCTAGTCTATAGTCTGGACTATAGTCTAGTCTATAGTCTGGACTATAGTCTAGTCTATAGTCTGGACTATAGTCTAGTCTATAGTCTGGTCTATAGTCAGGACTATAGTCTAGTCTATAGTCAGGACTATAGTCTAGTCTATAGTCAGGACTATAGTCTAGTCTATTCTGGACTATAGTCTACAGTGTGAACGGTAGTCTAGTCTACAATGTCAATAGTCTAGACTATAGTCTCAACAATAGCCTAGTCTATAGTCTGGACTATAGTAGACTATACTATAATCTAGTTTATAGTCTGGACTATAGTAGACTATACTATAGTCTAGTCAATATTCTAGACTATAGTCTAGTCTATAGTCTGGACTATAGTAGACTATACTGTAGTCTAGTCTATAGTCTGGACTATAGTAGACTATACTATAGTCTAGTCTATAGTCTATAGTCTGGACTATAGTCTAGTCTATAGTCTGGACTATAGTCTAGTCTATAGTCTGGACTATAGTCTAGTCTATAGTCTGGACTATAGTCTAGTCTATCGTCTGGACTATAGTCTAGTCTATAGTCTGGACTATAGTCTAGTCTATAGTCTGGACTATTGTCTAGTCTATAGTCTGGACTACAGTCTAGTCTATAGTCGGGACTAAAGTCTAGGTATAGACTGGACTACAGTCTAGTCTATAGTCGGGACTAAAGTCTAGGCTATAGACTGGACTATAGTCTAGTCTATAGTCGGGACTAAAGTCTAGGCTATAGAATGGACCATAATCTAGTCTATAGTTTGGACTATAGTCTAGTCTATAGTCTGGACTATAGTCTAGTCTATAGTCTGGACTATATTCTAGTATATAGTCTGGAGTATAGTCAAGGCCATAGTCTGGAGTATAGTCTAGGCCATAGTCTGGACTATAGTCTACTCCATAGTCTGGATTATAGTATAGTCGATAGTCTGGAATACAGTCCAATCTAGAGTCTGGACTATAGTCCAGTCTTCTTTATATTTTGGTTAATATTCTAATCTATAGTCTGGTCTGTAGCATTGATAACAGTCTACATTCTAGCTTAGAAAATGCAACGTAAAACTTACATGATGCATAACATCGCGATGTGTAGCAGGAAGCTCTTCTTCACCTACAAAACGACCATATAGTGGAGCATGACGTTGACGTCCACCACCACTGCCAGCCTCAACGGCAGCTGCCGCACTGGATACATAAGCTGCAGACACTAGAAATAAAGAAAAAATATATAATTATAAACAAAAATTAATAAATTGTTGATGAAAACTAAATTGTTTAACAATATATATATATCGCTTGTTCATTCCCCAATTTAATGGTTATTTTATAAATAAATTTATGTTTTACAGCTGCAGGTTTTGTAATATACATATTTTTTAAGAAATCTTATAAAAACGACAAATATTTTTTTTTTTTTTTTGTATAATTTAATGAAAAATATTTCCGCTTGTGAAAACTAAAAGGGGTAACAAGTGTTTTTTTCTTCTCTCGCATAAGTATTTTTTTACAAAGAAGGATGAATGAATTGTTGGGCTTATAATTATGATAGAAACAAAAGATAAAGACGGCAAAAATGCAGCTACAACAACGGCAAATCTCATTCACCTAAATCTGTTAGATGCCAAAAAGTCTCGTTTTCCGTTTAGGTAGACATATAAATGACAGATTTTTTTCTATTTTACATTTCTCATTTCTATGTTTATCTTGTCTGAAGTTAAAAAAAAATATGTATGTCGTTTGGGTATTTTTATAATTTTTTATTTATATTAAACAATACATAATAATAGTTTTATTGTAGCTGTGTTCATTTTGCTTAATATTACACAATATTTAGAGAGAAATAAGAAAAAAATGCCCATAAACATGGCACCATTTATAAGTAAATGAAGGAAAAACTTGGAATGTTGGCAAAAATATTACAAAGTATTTTATATTGTCACCAACCGAGAAAAAACATTGATTACCTATTATTATGAACAGATGAAAGTAGCAAAAAACGGGTAAAGAAAGTGCAACTAAAAGTGGGTAACTAAAAAAACTGTTCCAAAAATACATAAAGCACAATCTATAGTCGTGTCAATTGTCTAGTCTATAGTTCAGACTATAGTGTAGTCTACAGTCTGCTATATAGTCCTGAATTGAACTAACTAACTAGAACTGAATTAGAACAGAACTAGAACAGAACTAGAACAGAACTAGAACAGAACTAGAACAGAACTAGAACAGAACTAGAATAGAACTAGAATAGAACTAGAACAGAACTGGACCATAACTAGAACAGAACTAGAACAAGAACAGAACTAGAACAGAACTAGAACTAGAACAGAACTAGAACAGAACTAGAACAGAACTAGAACAGAACTAGAACAGAACTAGAACAGAACTAGAACAGAACTAGAATATAACTAGAACTAGAACAGAACTAGAACAGAACTAGATCAGAACTAGAACAGAACTAGAACAGAACTAGAACAGAACTAGAACAGAACTAGGACAGAACTAGAACAGAACTAGAATAGAACTAGAATAGAACTAGAACAGAACTGGACCATAACTAGAACAGAACTAGAACAGAACTAGAACAGAACTACAACAGAACTAGAACAGAACTAGAACAGAACTAGAATAGAACTAGAACAGAACTGGACCATAACTAGAACAGAACTAGAACAGAACTAGAACAGAACTAGAACAGAACTAGAACAGAACTAGAACTAGAACAAGAACAGAACTAGAACAGAACTAGAACAGAACTAGAACAGAACTAGAACAGAACTAGAACAGAACTAGAACAGAACTAGAACAGAACTAGAACGGAACTAGAACAGAACTAGAACAAAACTAGAACAGAACAAGAATAGAACTAGAACATAACTAGAACAGAACTAGAACAAAACTAGAGAGAACAAGAACAGAACTAGAACAAAACTAGAAGAGAACAGAACAGAACTAGAACAGAACTAGAAAAGAACTAGAACAGAACTAGAACAGAACTAGAACAGAACTAGAACAGAACTAGAACAGAACTAGAACAGAACTAGAACAGAACAAGAACAGAACTAGAACAGAACTAGAACAGAACTAGAACAGAACTAGAACAGAACTGAACAGAACTAGAACAGAACTAGAACAGAACTAGAACAGAACTAGAACAGAACTAGAAACAGAACTAGAACAGAACTAGACAGAACTAGAACAGAACTAGAACAGAACTAGAACTAGAACTAGAATAGAACTAGAACAGAACTAGAACAGAACTAGAACAGAACTAGAACAGAACCAGAACAGAACTAGAACAGAACTAGAACAGAACTAGAACAGAACTAGAACTAAACTAGAACTGAACTAGAACTGAACTAGAACAGAACTAGAACAGAACTAGAACAGAACTAGAACAGAACTAGAACTGAACTAGAACTGAACTAGAACAGAACTAGAACAGAACTAGAACAGAACTAGAACAGAACTAGAACAGAACTAGAACAAAACTAGAACAGAACTAGAACTGAACTAGAACAGAACTAGATGAGAACTAGAACAGAACTAGAATAGAACTAGAACAGAACTGGACCATAACTAGAACAGAACTAGAACAAGAACAGAACTAGAACAGAACTAGAACTAGAACAGAACTAGAACAGAACTAGAACAGAACTAGAACAGAACTAGAACAGAACTAGAACAGAACTAGAACAGAGCTAGAACAGAACTAGAACAGAACTAGAACAGAACTAGAACAGAACTAGAACAGAACTAGAATATAACTAGAACTAGAACAGAACTAGAACAGAACTAGATCAGAACTAGAACAGAACTAGAACAGAACTAGAACAGAACTAGGACAGAACTAGAACAGAACTAGAACAGAACTAGAATAGAACTAGAATAGAACTAGAACAGAACTGGACCATAACTAGAACAGAACTAGAACAGAACTAGAACAGAACTAGAACAGAACTAGAACAGAACTAGAACAGAACTAGAACAGAACTAGAATAGAACTAGAATAGAACTAGAACAGAACTGGACCATAACTAGAACAGAACTAGAACAGAACTAGAACTAGAACAGAACTAGAACAGAACTAGAACAGAACTAGAACAGAACTAGAACAGAACTAGAACAGAACTAGAACAGAACTAGAACAGAACTAGAACAGAACTAGAACAGAACTAGAACAGAACTAGAACAGAACTAGAACAGAACTAGAAGAACTAGAAACTAGAACAAACTAGAACAGAACAAGAATAGAACTAGAACAAAACTAGAAGAGAACAAGAACAGAACTAGAACAAAACTAGAAGAGAACAAGAACAGAACTAGAACAGAACTAGAAAGAACTAGAACAGAACTAGAAGAGAACTAGAACAGAACTAGAACAGAACAAGAACAGAACTAGAACAGAACTAGAACAGAACTAGAACAGAACTAGAACAGAACTAGAAACAGAACTAGAACAGAACTAGAACAGAACTAGAACAGAACTAGAACAGAACTAGAACAGAACTAGAACAGAACTAGAACAGAACTAGAACAGAACTAGAACAGAACTAGAACAGAACTAGAACAGAACTAGAACAGAACTAGAACAGAACTAGAACAGAACTAGAACAGAACTAGAATAGAACTAGAACAGAACTAGAACAGAACTAGAACAGAACTAAAACAGAACTAGAACAGAACCAGAACAGAACTAGAACAGAACTAGAACAGAACTAGAACAGAACTAGAACAGAACTAGAACTAAACTAGAACTAAACTAGAACTGAACTAGAACTGAACTAGAACAGAACTAGAACAGAACTAGAACAGAACTAGAACAGAACTAGAACTGAACTAGAACTGAACTAGAACAGAACTAGAACAGAACTAGAACAGAACTAGAACAAAACTAGAACAGAACTAGAACTGAACTAGAACAGAACTAGATGAGAACTAGAACAGAACTAGAGCTGGAACTAGAACTGAACTAGAACTGAACTAGAACTGAACTAGAACTGAACTAGAACAGAACTAGAACAGAACTAGAACAGAACTAGAACAGAACTAGAACAAAACTAGAACAGAACTAGAACAGAACTAGAACAGAACTAGAACAGAACTAGAACTGAACTAGAACAGAACTAGAACAGAACTAGAACAGAACTAGAACAGAACTAGAACAGAACTAGAACAGAACTAGAACAGAACTAGAACAGAACTAGAACAGAACCAGAACTGAATCAGAACAAAACCAGAACAGACAGAACTAGAACAGAACTAGAACAGAACTAGAACTGAACTAGAACTGAACTAGAACAGAACTAGAAAAGAACTAGAACAGAACTAGAACAGAACTAGAACAGAACTAGAACAGAACTAGAACAGAACTAGAACAGAACTAGAACAGAACCAGAACAGAATCAGAACAAAACAGAACAGAACCAGAACAGAACTAGAACAGAACTAGAACAGAACTAGAACAGAACTAGAACAGAACTAGAACAGAACTAGAACAGAACTAGAACAGAACTAGAACAGAACTAGAACAGAACTAGAACAGAACTAGAACAGAACTAGAACAGAACTAGAACAGAACTAGAACAGAACTAGAACAGAACTAGAACAGAACTAGAACAGAACTAGAACAGAACTAGAACAGACTAGAACAGAACTAGAACAGAACTAGAACAGAACTAGAACAGAACTAGACAGAACTAGAAACTAGAACAGAACTAGAACAGAACTAGAACAGAACTAGAACAGAACTAGAACCAGAACTAGAACAGAACTAGAACAGAACTAGAACCAGAACTAGAACAGAACTAGAACAGAACTAGAACAGAACTAGAACAGAACTAGAACAGAACTAGAACAGAACTAGAACAGAACTAGAACTGAACTAGAACAGAACTAGAACAGAACTAGAACAGAACTAGAACAGAACTGAAGAACAGAACTAGAACAGAACTAGAACAGAACCAGAACAGAATCAGAACAAACCAGAAACAGAACAGAACTAGAACAGAACTAGAACAGAACTAGAAATGAACTAGAACTGAAACTAGAACAGAACTAGAACAGAACCAGAACAGAATCAGAACAAACCAGAACAGAACCAGAACAGAACTAGAACAGAACTAGAACTGAACTAGAACAGAACTAGAAAAGAACTAGAACAGAACTAGAACAGAACTAGAACAGAACTAGAACAGAACTAGAACAGAACTAGAACAGAACCAGAACAGAATCAGAACAAAACCAGAACAGAACCAGAACAGAACTAGAACAGAACTAGAACAGAACTAGAACAGAACTAGAACAGAACTAGAACAGAACTAGAACAGAACTAGAACAGAACTAGAACAGAACTAGAACAGAACTAGAACAGAACTAGAACAGAACTAGAACAGAACTAGAACAGAACTAGAACAGAACTAGAACAGAACTAGAACAGAACTAGAACAGAACTAGAACAGAACTAGAACAGAACTAGAACAGAACTAGAACAGAACTAGAACAGAACTAGAACAGAACTAGAACAGAACTAGAACAGAACTAGAACAGAACTAGAACAGAACTAGAACAGAACTAGAACAGAACTAGAACAGAACTAGAACAGAACTAGAACAGAACTAGAACAGAACTAGAACAGAACTAGAACAGAACTAGAACAGAACTAGAACAGAACTAGAACAGAACTAGAACAGAACAGAACTACAGAACTAGAACAGAACTAGAACTAGAACTGAACTACACTAACTAGAACTGAACTAGAACTGAACTAGAACTGAACTAGAACTGAACTAGAACTGAACTAGAACTGAACTAGAACTGACTAGAACTGAACTAGAACTGAACTAGAACTGAACTAGAACTGAACTAGAACTGAACTAGAACGGAACTAGAACTGATGTAGAATTGAATTAGAACTATAACTGAATTAGACACTATAAACTAGGCTATAGATTATTGCTAAGAATAGACTATAGAATAGTTACAGATCTAGTTCTAGTTGGTGAGTGATTCTTTAGTCGAGGGGATATTCTAGTCTATGGATGAGTCTATAGTCGTGCCTATATAGGATCATATAGTCTAATCTATAGAATGATCTTGTACCTTATCTATTGCCTATTGATGAGTCTATAAAGTTTGAAGTTTAGTTCTGAGTATAGCCAAACCAACAATTTAGTTTTTCTCTCAGTGTGTTCAAAGTTCTTTGTCTATTCGAACAACAAAACAAAAGGCAGATGTTTTGATTTGCAAAATAAATTAAATAAATCTGCCAATTTAAAAAAACACAAAGAGAATGAAAAAATCTTTTAAAATGACATAAGAAAAAAGCTATAAAATTAATGTAAAAAACCAAAAATCAAACACCTACAATTTCTAAGCAGCTGATGACTACGAGCCACCTCTTGATCAACCAACATACGATCGTTTAGATTTGCAATACGATCATTATTTTCAGCATCATTATCATTACAATAGAATTTAGACAAACCATCAACAGTATCACTAGCACCACCAGCATTATCGTCTTCTACATTAATATTTTCAACATCATGGGCATCATAACCACCAATAAGACGTACAGAATTGGAAAGTTCTACGGTATGTTGATGATGCTGATCACGCTGTTGTTTGTCATCTAAAACAATAATATTATTGTTTTTCTTGTAGTGGTGATTGTTGTTGCTGCTGCTGTGGTTGTTGTTGTTGTTGTGATGAGTATATTGAGTATTTTGGGAGATACCATTACTTTGCATTTCCCAATCATGTATATTTTTGTTATTATTGTTATATTGAAACATGTTATTGTTGCTGCTGTTGTTGTTGTTGTTTGTATTAATTATATTTTTATTTTGATGATTTTTTAACAAATTACTGTTGCTTTTATTTAATTGTTTAATTTGTAAAGTTTTCGTTGGTGAATCGGGGGTTAAAGTCATGGTCGAGTTGGTGGGACTGGTGGTACTATCGGGCATTGAGCTAGTTTGTGCTGTTGCTGCAGTTGAAGAATTTTGCCAAAAACATAATGTAGCGGCAGACATTTTGTTATTAAAATTTTCTTTAGTTTTGATAGTTTTTAAAATTTTTATTTAAAATTTTTCTTTTTCTTTATTTAAAGTTTATTTTCATTTATAGAGATTATTTTGTAGTTTCGTTTATAATTTCTTTCGGCAAATTCTATTTTTTCGTGTAAACATTGTTGTTTTTATGGCACAATTTAAACGCAAAGAGATACAAATTTTGAAAAGAAAAAAATCATAATTATGACTAAAATTTATGTTAATTAGTTTTTGTGTTTAACCCTTTTGGAGGCAGAGGGGGTCTAAAAAGCAAACTTTAGTTACAGAGTATCATTGTTGAAAAGTATTAAGAACAATATCGCAAAAAATTCTGTTTAAATAAACAGAAATTTCTATTAGATTTTCTTATTTAAAGAAAAGTACTTTAACTAAACCAAAAAGTACTTTTTTCCTTCAAAAGTGTTGTTTGTAAAAAAATCTCAAAACAAACAACAAAAACAACATAAAATTGTCAAATACTTATGTCCCTAGTACTAATTAATAAAAAAATACCATTTAGATACCAAAAAAGTACTTTTTTAGAGAAAAGTACTAAAATTTAAAAAAAAGTACTTTTTAAAAAAAAAATTCAAATTTTTAAAAATGTCAACTTTTCTTATATTTGTAACAAACTATAGTAAAAAACAATATTTTGGTACTTTTTTTTTAAAAAAGTATTAAAAACTAAAAAAGTACTTTTTTCCAAAAACTAAAATTTTTGCAAAATTTTATATTTTTTTTGTTTATTTATGAAAAGAAATCACTAAAAACATTAGTAAGTACTTTTTTGGAAAAAATACTAAAATGTAAAAAAGTACTTTTTTCCAAAAATTAAAATGTTTGCAAAATTTTATAATTTTTATCTTATTTATGGAAAGTTATCACTAAAAACACTTTTAGGTACTTTTTTTTAACAAATAGTACTAAAATTTATAAAAAGTACTTTTTTTAAAAAACTTTATAATTAAAGAAAAAGTAATATTTATGCTAAACTTTTATATTCTGTCACTTATTTAGGCAAAGAAATCTTTAAAAACACAATTAGGTACTTTTTTACAAAAAGTACTAAATTGTTAAAAAGTACTTTTTTTAAAAACATTGAAATTCTACAAAAAATTAAATGGTTCTTATATTTTGTAAAAAAAATATAATAAAAAAACTAAATTTTTGTACTTTTTTGTAATAGGCACTAAAATGTAAAAAAGTACTTTTTCCCAAAAACTCCCAAATTAAGATAAAACTGATATTTATGTAAAATTTTTATATTTTGTCGCTTATTTATGCAAAGAAATCTTTAAAAATACATTTAGGTACTTTTTTCTAAAAAAAAATACCAAAATTATTAAAAAGTACTTTTTTCAAAAAATTCCCCAACTAAGCAAGAAGTAATATTAATGCAAAATTTTTATATTTTAACACAAAATTATGAAAATTGCAATTACTAAAAACACTTCTAGGTACTTTTTTTTAAAAAAAAGTACCAAAATTATAAAAAAGTATTTTTTTCCCAAAAACTTCCCAATTAAGCAAAAAGTAATATTAATGCAAAATTTTTATATTTTAACACATAATTTTGAAAATTATAATTACTAAAAACACTGTTAGGTACTTTTTTCTAAAATAAGTATCAAAATTGTAAAAAAGTACTATTTCCCAAAAACTCCCAAATTAAGCTAAAAGTGATATTTATGTAAAATTTTTATATTTTGTTACTTATTTATGCAAAGAAATCTTTAAAAATACATTAAGGTACTTTTTCTAAAAAGTACTTAAATTTAAAAAAGTAATTTTTCCCAAAAACTCCTAAATCAAGCAAAAAGTAATTTTTTTGCAAAATTTTTATCTCTTCTCACTTATTAATGAAAAGTAAACACTTTTAGGTACTTTTTTACAAGAAAAAAGTACTTTTTCCCAAAAACTTTCAAATTAAGCAAAAGTAATATTAATGCAAAATTTTTATATTTTAACACATAATTATGAAAATTAATTACTAAACACACATTTATTTACTTTTTTTACAAAAAGTACTAAAATTGTAAAAAAGTACTCTTTCCCAAAAATTCCTAAATCAAGCAAAAAGTAATTTTTATGCAAAATTTGTATCTTTTTAAACATAATTATGAAAATTAATTACTAAAAAAACTTTTAAGTACTTTTTTCTAAAATAAGTACCAAAATTATAAAAAGTACTTTTTCCCAAAAACTCCTAAAATGAAGAAAAAAGTAATATGAATGCAATAAGTTTATATTTTAATACTTAATTATGAAAATTAATGACTGAAAACACATTTAAGTACTTTTTTTAAAAAAAAAGTACCAAATTGTAAAAAAGTACTTTTTTTTAAAAACTCCCAAAATTGAACCAAAAACAAATATTTGGCATATTTATGCTAAAATTAGTTTTATTGCCTTTTTTATTAAAAGTACTAAATATTTTATGAAAAATTCAGAGAAATGTGCATTAATTTTAGCATCCAAAAAGGGTTAAACAAATTCCGATATAAATTATAAATAATATTTTGAATATTTTTGTTGTTTTACTTCAAATTTCCTGTATTTGTTTTGCCACTTTTCAATACAAATTATCTAATTTTATTCAATTTGTTCGAAGATTTTTTCAAAACTTTTTAAACACAATTTCGTAACTTTTATTTTTTTTTAGAAAATCTTATAATTTTTCTACAGATTGTATAATATTTTATTACATTTTCGTTTACTTCTACTGTTTGAAAACTTTTTTTGTATATTTTTTTAATTTTAAACAAACTTTTTATCAAATTTTTCTTTTAATATTTGAAATATATTTTTTCTTTATATTTATGCAAAATTTTTGAAATTCTTTCTAATCACCAAACTAAACAAATATTTTTCTTATGAATTTCAAAATAAGTATTAATTTTTCTTTCAGCCAAAGCAAAACAAATTGCTTTGTTTAAATTATTTGTGCGTTTAGTATAATATTTTAAAATATTTTTTTTTTTTCAATTTTTCGCAAAAATCTTTTAAAATTTCAACAATTTGCCTTAAACCGTACGATACAAAATTTCAACGAAAACTGCAATACTACAAAATTGAAAATGTTATTTTCCCAAATGAAAACAATACAAAAGACCAAAAACAAAAAGCTACCAAAAAAAAAAAGAAATTCTCAATTAAAAATGTGTTTAATTTTAAAACCCCTCGAATTTATCAAACAGCAACAACAACAACACCCAACAAAAACATGCCAAAACAAAATTAAAACAACAACAAATATTTTTATAAAATTAAGCGAATAAATGGCATTAAACTAAAGAAATTTATAAAAAAAAATATCTAAAATAAAATTAAATCAGACGAAAAAAAAATCGAAAAAATAAAATATTTAAGAAAAATTTTCTCTCTGAGAGAGAGAGGAAGAATATTTTGTGTAAAAGTTAAAAATATAAATAATTTTTTCTTAATTCAAAATACTCGTGATCATTCATTTATAAGTGACGACAAATTTTTGTGACAAAGAAAGACATAGAAAAAAGTCGGCGAAAACTGTCAAGACTCATACACCAGGAAATTTAAAATGGAGACAAAACATATACAATGAGGTGTTTTTCCATACAGATTGACTCACCTTTTGATCAGAAAGACATAAATTCAAATGTGCTTCTGTTTTGTTCTGTTCTAGTTCTGTTCTAGTTTTATTCTAGTTCTGTTCTAGTTCTAGCTCTGTTCTAGTTCTGTTCTAGTCCTGTTCTAGTTCTGTTCTAGGTTTGTTCTACTTCTGTTCTAGTTCTGTTCTAGTTCTGTTCTAGTTCTGTTCTAGTTCTGTTCTAGTTCTGTTCTAGTTCTGTTCTAGTTCTGTTCTAGTTCTGTTCTAGTTCTGTTCTAGTTCTGTTCTAGTTCTGTTCTAGTTCTGTTCTAGTTCTGTTCTAGTTCTGTTCTAGTTCTGTTCTAGTTCTGTTCTAGTTCTGTTCTAGTTCTGTTCTAGTTCTGTTCTAGTTCTGTTCTAGTTCTGTTCTGTTCTAGTTCTGTTCTGTTCTAGTTCTGTTCTAGTTCTGTTTTAGTTCTGTTCTAGTTCTGTTCTAGTGTTTTTCCATACAGATTGACTCACCTTTTAGTCAGAAAGACATAAATTCAAATGTGCTTCTGTTTTGTTCTGTTCTAGTTCTGTTCTAGCTTTATTCTAGTTCTGTTCTAGTTCTAGCTCTGTTCTAGTTCTGTTCTAGTTCTGTTCTAGTTCTGTTCTAGTTCTGTTCTAGTTCTGTTCTAGTTCTGTTCTAGTTCTGTTCTAGTTCTGTTCTAGTTCTGTTCTAGTTCTGTTCTAGTTCTGTTCTAGTTCTGTTCTAGTTCTGTTCTAGTTCTGTTCTAGTTCTGTTCTAGTTCTGTTCTAGTTCTGTTCTAGTTCTGTTCTAGTTCTGTTCTAGTTCTGTTCTAGTTCTGTTCTAGTTCTGTTCTAGTTCTGTTCTAGTTCTGTTCTAGTTCTGTTCTAGTTCTGTTCTAGTTCTGTTCTAGTTCTGTTCTAGTTCTGTTCTGTTCTGTTCTAGTTCTGTTCTAGTTCTGTTTTAGTTCTGTTCTAGTTCTGTTCTAGTGTTTTTCCATACAGATTGACTCACCTTTTAGTCAGAAAGACATAAATTCAAATGTGCTTCTGTTTTGTTCTGTTCTAGTTCTGTTCTAGTTTTATTCTAGTTCTGTTCTAGTTCTAGCTCTGTTCTAGTTCTGTTCTAGTTCTGTTCTAGTTCTGTTCTAGTTCTGTTCTAGTTCTGTTCTAGTTCTGTTCTAGTTCTGTTCTAGTTCTGTTCTAGTTCTGTTCTAGTTCTGTTCTAGTTCTGTTCTAGTTCTGTTCTAGTTCTGTTCTAGTTCTGTTCTAGTTCTGTTCTAGTTCTGTTCTAGTTCTGTTCTAGTTCTGTTCTAGTTCTGTTCTAGTTCTGTTCTAGTTCTGTTCTGTTCTAGTTCTGTTCTAGTTTCTGTTTTAGTTCTGTTCTAGTTCTGTTCTAGTGTTTTTCCATACAGATTGACTCACCTTTTAGTCAGAAAGACATAAATTCAAATGTGCTTCTGTTTTGTTCTGTTCTAGTTCTGTTCTAGTTTTATTCTAGTTCTGTTCTAGTTCTAGCTCTGTTCTAGTTCTGTTCTAGTTCTGTTCTAGTTCTGTTCTAGTTCTGTTCTAGTTCTGTTCTAGTTCTGTTCTAGTTCTGTTCTAGTTCTAGGTCTGTTCTAGTTCTGTTCTAGTTCTGTTCTAGTTCTGTTCTAGTTCTGTTCTAGTTCTGTTTCTAGTTCTGTTCTAGTTCTGTTCTAGTTCTGTTCTAGTTCTGTTCTAGTTCTAGTTCTGTTCTAGTTCTGTTCTAGTTCTGTTCTAGTTCTGTTCTAGTTCTGTTCTAGTTCTGTTCTAGTTCTGTTCTAGTTCTGTTCTAGTTCTGTTCTAGTTCTGTTCTAGTTCTGTTTCTAGTTCTGTTCTAGTTCTGTTCTAGTTCTGTTCTAGTTCTGTTCTAGTTCTGTTCTAGTTCTGTTCTGTTCTAGTTCTGTTCTTCTAGTCTGTTTTATTCTAGTTCTGTTCTAGTTCTGTTCTAGTTCTGTTCTAGTTCTGTTTTAGTTCTCTTCTAGTTCTGTTCTAGTTCTGTTCTAGTTCTGTTCTAGTCCTGTTTCTAGTTCTGTTCTAGTTCTGTTCTAGTTCTGTTCTAGCTTACTAGTTCTGTTCTAGTTCTGTTCTAGTTCTGTTCTAGTTCTGTTCTAGTTCTGTTCTAGTTCTGTTCTAGTTCTGTTCTAGTTCTGTTCTAGTTCTGTTCTAGTTCTGTTCTAGTTCTGTTCTAGTTCTGTTCTAGTTCTGTTCTAGTTCTGTTCTAGTTCTGTTCTAGTTCTGTTCTAGTTCTGTTCTAGTTCTGTTCTAGTTCTGTTCTAGTTCTGTTCTAGTTCTGTTCTAGTTCTGTTCTAGTTCTGTTCTAGTTCTGTTCTAGTTCTGTTCTAGTTCTGTTCTAGTTCTGTTCTAGTTCTGTTCTAGTTCTGTTCTAGTTCTGTTCTAGTTCTGTTATATTCTATTCTTTTCTAGTTCTGTTCTAGTTCTGTTCTAGTTCTGTTCCGGTTCTGGTTCTGTTCTGGTTCTGTTCTGTTTCTGTTCTGGTCCTGTTCTGGTTCTGTTCTAGTTCTGTTCTAGTTCTGTTCTAGTTCTGTTCTAGTTCTGTTCTAGTTCTGTTCTAGTTCTGTTCTAGTTCTGTTCTAGTTCTGTTCTAGTTCTGTTCTAGTTCTGTTCTAGTTCTGTTCTAGTTCTGTTCTAGTTCTGTTCTAGTTCTGTTCTAGTTCTGTTCTAGTTCTGTTCTAGTTCTGTTCTAGTTCTATTCTAGTTCTGTTCTAGTTCTGTTCTAGTTCTGTTCTAGTTCTGTTCTAGTTCTGTTCTAGTTCTGTTCTAGTTCTGTTCTAGTTCTGTTCTAGTTCTGTTCTGGTTCTGTTCTAGTTCTGCTCTAGTTCTGTTCTGGTTCTAGTTCTGTTTTTATGTTACTGTTTTGTTCTATTAGAGTTATTTTCTAGTTTTGTTCTCATTTTAATAAAGGATTTACTTTTAAATTTTAGTTTAAAGTTTTGCATTCAAAATGTCACATGTCATCAAATATGTCATGACATGTAATTAAATATTTTATTACATTTCTGTGTCTCTTCATTTTAACAACTATTTGAAGGCTGTTAAACAATGTTATTTCTTGAATATTTTTCCGTACATATTGATTGTTTCTGTTATCCCACTCCTTGAGAATTCTTAAGGATTTTTTTCGATTTTTGCTGAATTATGCAAAAATGTAATCTTAAGATTTTTCTACATACATTCCTTATTCATATAAACATACATACGTACACTTGTGCATACATATGTTATGCCAAATTGTGTAATAGTTTTATTACATTTTTTTCTTCAATTCTTTGTATTTTTATATCATTTTATAGAGGATTTTTTTGGTATGTATGTCTCTCTTTCTTAAGAATTTTTGTGCACTTGACGACAGTTTATATTTTTCGTTTTGAATTGAATGAAATGAAGGAAAAAAACAACGTTTCTGCACATCTTTGACATGTCTTTTCAGTTGATAATCATTTTTAATAGACAAAAAAAAAACAATAATAATAAGGTTTAAATATTTTTTGTCGGTATCTTTTGCAAGATTCTAGTTTTTAGTTCAAGCTATCGAGACTGAGATGAGAAAGGAGTTTGTTTAAGACAGAAAACTTTCTTTTGTCTATGATTAGACATAAACATGACAGTAACATTTTGTTGAATTTAAGGAATTGGTAAGAGTCAGAAGAATGATTGCCTAAATGACTAGATGAAATGCCTTACCAAACTGTCAAACTGACCAATAAAAGTTGTTTTTTTTTCACTGGCTAATTGTCTTAAGTAATATTTGCTAAAAGAGTGAGGGCTGTTCATGTTAGACAAATGTCAAGACAAAATGTTTGAGATTTATAAGGGAGAACCAAAAAACAATAAAGAGTTAAATTTATTAATGATACAATTTTTTTAAGAAGTCTCATAAAAAATTTTATGTTTATGTCATAACATATGGCAGACATAAAAATATCTTGTTGGTTGACTTTCGGAAATTACAAAGAAATAATAATTAAGTAAATTTTTGATAAATTTTATGCTGACATAATATTTTATGTTATGACATATTGCATAACATATGGCTGACATAAATTCTTTCGTATGTTAACTTT